ATATATTGTATTCATAAGAATCTAAAAAATGATAGAAGACTAAAAAAGAATATATTTGCAAAACAAAATGATTCTAAAATAGCTATTGCTAGTTATAAATAACCTATAAAGTCTTGAATTAAAACTAAGTTATAATATATATATATATATATATATATATATATATATATATTTTACTTAAGTAAACAAAGTATATAAAATTAGGTATGATTTTGCTAAATATTTTTTTATGTTTTTTGTTTATTTTTTAACATAAAAAACCTAATAAATGAAGAATAAATCTGTAAGAAAATTATTGGCATTAAATCATCTTATATAAATCAATTACTATTTTAAAATTATTCACATGATTTTTAATAATAATAAAAGAAAATAATCCAAAAACCATAAAACTTTCATCTTTATCTTATTTTTTAAAAAAAATTAATTATTGGTCAAATATTAAAAAATATTGTTGGTCAAAAAAATTAAATTTTTACATATAGAAGTTATAAATAACTAATTTTTTTTTTAAAGAAATTATCTATAAAATCCTATTTATTAAGATAGTTATTATAGTTCTTAAAAATATAATAGTATTCAATATCTATATATATATATAGATACATATATAGATATATTAGAATTGGTATTTGTTTGTTTGTAATGGCTAAGCTAATTATACAATTTTATTTCTGATAATTATAATTTATATGCTGTATGTAATGTATATTCTATATTACACATGTTGTATAATATCTTATATTATATATTATAACATATCACAAAATTATGTTAGATTATAAAAAATCTAATTTATCCATATACTATTGGAATTTATAGGAGATAGTAGAGAAATAACTAGGAGATAGTTGAAGGGATAGTATATGAGATTAATTCAGAGACAATCTATGGGACAGTATAGTAGATTAATTATGATCATCCTTGATGACTCTAATTAATGGGTCATCAACACAAAATATGGATAGAATCATGTGGAGTGTTTGAGGTGTTCCCGGGAATGAATTAAGGGGACATACTAGAATTGTAATAATACCAATTAATTATGTAGTTTTAAAAAAAATTGCGCATAAAAATAAATTTCTTTAATATGTCTGATATTGGGTAATTTTAAGTTTTTTTCTGAACTTATCTAAGAAAAAACTAATGTATCTATATATATATATATATATATATATGTTGAAGTAAAGGCATTTTTGCAAGTTGCAATAGAGAGAGGTTTTATGTCATTTGTAAAATTTAAGTAGAAGTTGTAGCAAATTCTGGAAGAAGAAAAGGAATATAGAAATATATATTTTAAAAAATTCTTATATTTTATTTTATAATGTTCTTTGTGATTACTCAATTGATCTTAAAAAAGGAATCCAATAACCACTTAGAAAAAAAATCATTTTTTTTGCAAAATAAACTACTTGCCTTAGAAAAAAATATTAGCAAAATACTACAAAGACTTTTGTCTGATATTCAAATTTTCTTGTAAATTATTGTAATTCAATAGATTTAGTATCAAGAATAACAACTATTTATCTTTGATAGTAATATTATTTGTATAATAAATTGAAGCTTATACCTATATAAAACATATCTATTAATATTATAAAATCCAAATTTTATGAAAAATACTAAATTTAAAATAAAAATTCGTAATAAATGTAGATATTTTATGTACTTTTATATTTAAAAAATTATCATCAAATATGTATTAAGAATAATTTTTAATTTTCTTTTTTATTCATAAAATCAAAATATAAAATTTTAAATAAACTAAAGATATAGAAGTAATATTTTTAAATTCAAAAAATAATTTTTATTGCACCTTTTATACTATGCCATTCAAACTTTTAGAAAACAATTTCATGCAAAAAAAAATCTGTAAGCTAGTTATATGATTTTATTATTATTTAACAAATTTATTACAGATATTATTATTATTATTATTATTATTACTACTATTATTATTATTAGTATCTAGAAATTATTTAGTGTAATTAAAATACTTAAAAACTTATTTAAAGATTGAGATTTTTTTTAACTACAATAAATCCAATATAACAAGATTAGTTGATAATATAATAATACTAAATAAAACTATAATTTCATAATGTATTATAATTTTTTTTAGTGGTGGGATTATATGACATATAAATTTAAAAAATAATATATTATCTTTAAAATTTGTATTTGTATGTTTTATTTTTTATCTTAAAAATATTCTTTGATTTTTGTCAATTATTTTATCAAGAAAAAGGTCAAAAATTCTAATGAAAAAAACTAAAATATTATACAAGTTTTCAATTCTAAATTAAATTATAATATATATATATATATATATATATATATATATATATTTAAATTTTATAAGATAATTTTCTATTAGAAACTAGCTCCTTGATATCTATTATAATTGAATAGACTTGTTTTTTTTGTATAAAATGTAACATATGTCTATATTACTTAAATAAAATAGAAAAAATTATAAGTAAAGTAGAAATTTATTAGGTAGATAATATCTTCTTTAAAAAAAATCAAGAAATTTTCTTAGAAGTAAATTGGATATTTAAAATTTTATAAATATTCTACATGGGTAATTAAAAAAAATTAGAAGTTTTTTGTTTTTAAGAAGTTATGTTGGAAGCAACATACAAATTGACACTTTACTTCATACTTGCAATCCCTAAGTAGTCTCTAGAAAATCTTTTTTGTAGCTAATATATATAGAAGCAAGATTGTGGCTACCTTCAGTCTTATCAATATCTTTCTTGTATTCTAATCTTAATTTAATACTCTCTCAATGCTTTGTAATTGGCAATAGCTATCATAATTTCTTTAGATCTTATATTTATCTCTTATTTGATTTTTTTTTTTTTTTTTTTTTTTCAGGAACACAAGAATGTAAAATCTTCTTAAAGTGTAATCTAAAAACATGTCTTTGATACACAACTTTCTTTTATAATTATATTATTTGTCTTGTAATTGCACTAGTTCTTTGAACAATGTCAAGCAATATATTTAAACTTTGTATAATAAAAATACAAGTCATTTTCATCAATATTAAATCTTTTCTTGTGTTTTTAGTAACTAAAATGGACAACATCATTTATATGTCTCTTACTTCTAACCATACTTTAAAAAGTTATAGTTTCTTCTAAAAAATTATAAAAATATTAAATAAAATTTGAATATTTTAAAAATAGAATTCAAAGATTTAATTATCATACTTGATAGAAAAGTCAATTGCTTGACCTAATATTTGATAATAAAATGAATTCAATGGTAACTTCTCTATATTATATTGCAATTCATATATAATATTTTTAATAAATGTAAAATCAACCTATTTAATTTTGAATGCAACTTTGAAAAAAAAATTGTTAAATTTATCTAGGTATTTACTTAATCAATCTACCTATCATTATTGGTTTAGGATCCAATCATTTTTTTATTGGTTCTTAATCAATATAGATCCAACATTGAAGAATTTTTTTAATGATGGTTAATAAGAATGAATAAATTTAGTAAATACTTAAATTAATATAATTTACTAAAAATAACTTAAATTAATTTAATTTAATTATTTTAAAATTAAAATTAAACATCAAATCAAACTTAATTATCAATAGCATAAAAATCTAATCCATTAATCTTAAATTATTATTTAAAAATTATTCTTAATTTTATAATAGATATTATTATATTATTATAATAACCATGAGTTGAAAGATTTATTTGAACTACAATAGTTTTTAAAAAAACTTCTATTATCTATATATTTATAGAAGTCATTCTAAATAATAATTATAGTAGTAAACAAATATGATATATTATAAGAATTTATTTTTTCTATTTTTTTATATATATGTTATATATAAATATTTATTTTTAGAATCTTTATATAAATTAAATGATTATAGAAAATTAAATAAAAATTATAAGATATTTATATACCATGTAGTTAATTATATATATATATATATATATATATATATATATTAATGTAAAAAAACTATAATCCAAAATTTCTAAAGCATTATAATGATCTTTAAAATAAAAATAATATATTCTTATTCTTATTTTTAAAAATCTATTGTTATAATTTTTTTCTTAAAATTTTAAGAATACAAATCTTAAAAAATTATTATGATAAATTATATTCATATAAAGTAAAAAAGAAAATAAATTATTAAAATATTTTATATTTATAAAGTTAAAAGTTATTAGAATGATTATTATGCATAAAAAAACTGTAGAATCTTAATTTGAGAGTAGAGTATAAAAAATATGTTGAAAAGAATAAAAATAGCTTCAAACTTATATCCATATACAACTAATAAGAAGTCTATGTAGAAGCTTCTTAAAGATAACAAAGCATTCAAACTAAGTATTCAAATTCTATATTTTTATAGTAGCTTCATAAAAGTAAAAAATAATAATTTCAAGAAAATATTTATAACCACATGGCACACCCATAGATCCAACCTCCTACAAAAAAGTTCCTCAAATATTTTTTTAAGGAACATATCCATTTCCCTAAAAAAATCCTTAAATGCTTTTTATGTAATCTACTTCTATGCATTACAATAACACCTGTTATGCCCTTGTATAATGTCTTACTATAATTTAGTACGTATTTGAAAAGTAGCTATTGCTACTCTTTGAAGAACTAACTCTTTACAACTCGTAGCAAAAAGGATTCCTCCTTTATTCCCTTCTTGTGTCCTTATTCCCACGCATCAATAAATTTGGATCTTGAGTACCTATCACCGCACGTTTGGAGTTAGGCGCAGCTTGAATGAGAGAGCCCCATGGCCGGGGAAGCATCCTCCGTGGCAAAATGAGGGCGTAGACTAAAATTGGACAGTGATGGGCCAAAGTCCTCGTGACCGTGTGCCACCTCAGATGGTGAGTCAGCATAAAGAAGAATGACCAGACACGTCATCCTTAATACCTATATGGCGCTAAGAGCTCACCCAGTCCTCAACTAGATCCATGCGATTTCGGCTCCCTCGCCGAAGAAACTTGTCGCGACCTCTGCGTCCGCTGTGCAGCAGATTGCCTCCCCAGACTTGCTGCAATCCTTGCTAGTTCTGTTCTACGCCGCCACCAGAATTTTTCCAGCGCGGCATGCATTTGAAACCACCGAAATTCGCTTTCCCTGCCTCTCCTCCTTATTTTGAGCCATTTCTGATCCATTTCGGTGCCCTGTAGAGGACGCTGTGGTCGCGCAAAGTTGGATTGCAATCTCGTGTGTGTGCCACTGGCGGTTATTGTTACGAAGAGTTGGAGTTGCAGTTGGAGTTGATTTTCGTAATCCTTAAATCTTGTGCAATTTGGATTCAGACGAGTAAACAAGGTAAAGGGTTGTTAGTTGCCATGGATTTCTTAGGGGCACTGTTGTGGTTCACTGTAGTGGGGCAGGTTGCGTCACGTGAAAAGCCATTGCTAATTTATGTCCTTTTTATTTTGTCCATAAAGATTTTCAGAAATTATGGTTTGGACATATGATTTTTGACGTTTTCGAGGTCTGGTATATGGAAGCGTAGATTTGAATGCAGAATTTTATGGTGGTTCATGATTTCTGCTATTGATCAAAGTCGCAGCAGCTGAAGTTGTTGCGCTGCTGCCGTTGAAGTTCGGGGTCTCGGGTTACTAAGAGCTCTTGCAAGTTTTTTGGATCTTTATGTAGAATGCCTGGCTGATTTTGCTATGAAAGGAAGTGAAAGGTACCGCTCACAGACAATATGTGTCATTTGTGTATACTTACATTACAGAGAGAGAGATAATATTTGGGAATGCCAGCATTACACTCCATAATCAAAGCATGCTTTTGAAAGCCCATTGAACCGAAGTATTCTTGTGCTTAATTTACAAGGTTGTCGACCAAATTCTAACGAAGGCCGTTTTTGAATTGCGCTTCATTGAGCCTGTTGTTTTTACACTTTGTAAATGAATTGAAGAACGAATCTCTCGCACTCTTCTTGTAGATGTGCAACACATTTAGTCATGTTTGGGGTTCGGCGGTTGACCACATAATATGCATTTCTGCAGAGCACTATCAGAAGCTTTGTGCAAGGACTAGAAGAACATGGGTCACACACTTAATTTACACCACGACACATTTCAAGAGCCAGAAAGGTCTGAAACTATCACGGAGCTTTTGAAACAGGCAGGAGGGTGCGTGGTGACTGATGGAGGTTTTGCAACTCAGTTGGAACGCCATGGTGCAGACATTAACGACCCATTGTGGAGTGCGCTTTGCCTTATCACCATGCCCCACCTCATCCGAACGGTAATCAATCCCTTGCACTGCTGGTCTAGCTTTGTTGCCACTTGAACTGAGCCCAATTCATGGGTTTGATGCTGTCGGTTTGCATTGGGAATTTGACCATTTTGCCGACTTTCTGAATGTTACTCATTGCATCAGTGCATGGATATTCAGACCTTTGGCAAAGAAGCATCTCATGAATTTCAAATTAGGTGATTCTTCTCAGAATTGTAAATTACGTAGTGTGGACAAGTTTGTTTATTTGTTCTTTAAGCAGTCGTAATGCCAAGCTACGATGACTGCCCAAATGAACGTTTCACTTGGTCCTTGATGGTGTTGGGATGTTAGGTGCATAAGGAGTATCTGCAAGCAGGGGCTAGTGTAATATCCACGGCTTCTTATCAGGTGGTTAATCGATAACATCATATCAACCCTTTAGATGAGCAATTATGTCGTCATTGTCTCGTCCGAAAGCATCAAACCTCGTTGATTGACGCACAACTTATTATGAAAGTAGCTGAGCAAGAATGTCACCTGCCATACACGAGGTTGTTGACAACACTCTTTAGTCTCATTCTCAATTTTGAAGATGTTGTATGCTGCCAAGAACGATGTTGGTGACAGTCCACAAGTGTTTTTTGTATGATTAACAGGCAACTATTCAGGGTTTTCAAAGCCGAGGTTTGTCAACAAAAGAAGCGGAGGATTTGCTTCAGACGAGTGTTCGTATCGCTCAGGAAGAGCGTGACAGCTTTTGGAAAGAATATCAAAACAAAGTGCGCGCGGGAACTGCTCATGCTGGTCTATATCAGCGTGCTCTTGCTGCTGCCTCCGTTGGTAGTTATGGAGCGTATTTGGCTGATGGTTCCGAATACAGGCATGATGTCACTTTTCCATTTAATGTAGGATTTAAATCCTTCTGGGGCATCGCACGATTTCAGTGAAAACAACTGCTCGTTTCAACAACTTTTTACATCGTAGCATGTGAGAAGATATTTTTTACATAGGTTACGAGGGTATCGTGTTCAGAATAAGTGCAGGTTGTAGTTTCAGTTTGTCGCGTTTACGCGCTATTGTGGCAAGCATATAATTTGACCTCCTAAGCAACAGTGTGTGGATTCTTCGCAGTGGAGACTATGGCCCATCCATGACAGTTGACAAGCTGAAAGATTTCCATCGCCGCCGGCTGATGGTGCTTGCAGATGCAGGACCCGATCTAATAGCACTAGAAACCATTCCCTGCAAGTTGGAAACTCAGGTTTATTCCTATTCAGGTTCAGCAAGTTGAAGTACAAATCTGTCAAGATGTAATGAAAAATGGTGTTTAATGGATTCTTTGGTACTTCATTTGCAGGTTTAGATGTAGGTCATTTTCTCATGATGATAAAATCTGCATGCATTTCCATGTTCAATTTGAAGTTCATTAAAATTACCAACTTGTTTGATTCTTGGAATAGTGCCGAGATACTTCATAATATATCTGTATATTTCAAGGCTGGTACTGATTCGTGGTATTTCTTTATGGTCATGTGCAGGCCTTAGTTGAATTATTAGCCGAAGAGAACTTGCGGGTTCCAGCTTGGATATCATTTAATTCAAAAGATGGCACGAATGTCGTCAGTGGGGATTCGCTTTCCGACTGTGTTGCCTTAGCTGACAAATGCACTCAAGTAAGAGCAGTGGGTATCAACTGCACTCCTCCTCGCTTCATTCTTGACCTCATCCAAGCAGTGCGGAAGGTAGATACGTGCAACCTCTGTGCTTTAACTGCTCTCTTCTTTCTTTCTTTCTTTCTTTCTTTCTTTCTTTCTTTCTACTTCTTCTCCTTTAATTTTCTTTTTCCAGTAGTGCGTTTACACACTTTGTGTTGAATCAGTGAAGTTGATGTTTAGTAACACGTTCACGTGGAGAACTTGCAAGTACCAAAGAAGTTTTTCTTAAGCCAAAAAGACGCTGCTGTCTGAGCAGGTGACAAACAAGCTCATAGTGGTCTATCCTAACAGCGGAGAGTACTATGATCCTGAAATAAAGCAGTGGGTGGTACGTCTGCACCTCCTTTGCCTCCTCCGCTCGATTATTGAATTCCCAGTCAACTTTGCGAACTGGTTTATTGTAGTTTGAGTTTTTATGTTTCTTTGATATATATATATATATATATATATATATATGTTAATACATGCACATACTATAAAAATTCTCGAAGAACTTTAACTGAAAAAATCCCTAAAATCTTTTTATATGACACTTATGATATCGATACTTCGTCATCCTTTCTAATCCTAGATTACCCTGCAGACTGGTAGTCGGTTGAACTTGAAAATTAAAATGTAATATCATTCTCATCCTGATCGAAGGATGGATATTACTTTGCGACAGTTCTATTCAAATGGTGTTGTTGCTGATTATCACCCTTGCGTTATGATTGAACGTTTGTATTATAAAACCTCAATATATTTTCAGATACCTAATTTTTTTATGGTGGTCTTGTTCCATAAATTCCGCAGGAATCTACAGGTGTTTCAGACACAGATTTCGTTTCATATGTGCATGAGTGGCGGAACGCTGGAGCTCAGCTAATAGGCGGATGCTGCCGAACTACTCCCAACACTATAGAAGCCATTTCCAAAGCCTTGCGTGAGCACACTCATGCGCACGTCACCAACTGACCTGTGTGCTAAACAGATACATTTTTTGCTGGTATCCGTCATGTCTTATGCACAAACTGCTGAAGGTTTGAATCAAAAATATCACTGGGTGACTATCCTGGATGTCTGACTCATAATGGATCACATGTCGTAAATTGGTAAATGTGTCGTCATTTTCTCGACGTGCTTTTTCCTTGAATAAATCCTGGAGCTTTTGTATTGGACTGAAAAGAGTAGGAACATCATGGCTGAAAATGGTCCAATGTTGACATCAAAGCTCTTCATATTGCTCCTGCGACAAGTTTAACCTCAATTCTTACCGCAAAATCGGTTATGTTTACAAGAAATCCAACATTTTGATTGGGTGTTTCTATCACTTCCTGAATGCTTTCCAGTGACGCTCACAGCAACGAAGAGTTGCGAAAAATGTGTTTCTAAACAATTCTAGAAATTATTTCTTTTGTATTTCTTCCTTAGGATGACGTTTCTGGTTTATATCTGTGCACCATGGAACATGAATGAACATCTCTTAATGATAAATGATTCTTCCACTTGATCTTCTTTTCAAATGAGGAGGTTGGTCTATGTATGTGGTAAGCCCTCACGACGTATCAATCGATAAGTAACAATACTCCAACTGGGTATTACAATTGCTGCCGAAAGATGATCTCCGAAACCTCCAAACACAACTAGTTGCCCACTAGTCTAAGAAACTCCCCTCACCCCTTTAAGAAGGGGTCCAGCAATAACGCCAAAAGTATGTGTTGAGGAATATAGCTCCTAGGGAGAAGAAAGAGGATTCTCTCCCTCCATAAACATGCAAGCTCCCGCATCAACTCTTATTTTGATTTAAACAATGCTGTCTTTGATTCCTTTCTAAAAAATGAAAATGTGAGATATGAAAGAGATCTCTCTCTCTTCCAAGCTTTCTTGAAATGAATTAAGAGAGAATATCCTTTTTCTATATCAGGAAGTTGTGTGTTCTTATTTTTTTCTAACATTTTATAAAGTTAAAAATCATTTCTTGCAATGTTTGTGGTCTAAATGAAATCCCTAAGGCTTTTAAACATTGTAATTGTGTTCAAAGTATTTCTCCTAAATCTAATATTTTTCTTATCCAAGAGCATAAATTTTGAAGCACAAAGACACAAGAATTAGACAATGATATTTGGACAAACAAAGAATCTTTCAATCTAGAGATTGCTCTTATGTATATAATGTATGTGTTGTGAGTATAGGTGGGGTATGTATTTTTATTTCTCTTGCAATTGATTATTTAGTTAATAATATAGATTCTCATATAAATAATAGGATTCTTTGGATTACTCTAAATAACATTAAAAGAAATTTTCTTAGTATGTAAATATATATATATATATATATATATATATATGCTTACAATAAATATCAAGAAAGATATCATATGTAGATTAATTTTATAAATACATTACTAACTTAAACTCCATATACATAAGGAGGTGATTAAAATATGGTTGGAAATTCACCTCATTATTCTTCTTTTTACAAAAGATTGATATCTGAAGATGAGGAAAAAAAACATGGAATCTTTTCAAATGTTGTCTTCTTTAAGTTGGTCCTTTATTTCTTATTCTAAGATCACTAAATTACTCTTGGAATAAGAAATAAAGTAAAATTCATATATTTCTTAGATTAGATTGATTTTATATAAGTATTATTATATTTTAGAAAGAAAAAATCTAAGATATAATTTAAAAGAAATTATATTTTATTTATCATTTTTTAATTAAATTTACTAGCTCTAAAAATCCAAATCCAAATAATTAATATAAAAAATGGATATTTTTTATCTCAACAATCATAGAGTCTTTTATCAAGTTGAAGATTTATAGTAAAATTATTAATTTAGATGATTCTTCATCAAATTGAAAATCTTTATTAATTTTTTTAATCTTTCTACAAAGAATAATTTTTCTTATAAGCAAGATGCCTCATCAAATTTCAAGATTAAGTATAAGAAGCATACATTATCCTTCAAGCTCATTCCCAAGATATCATCTTACAAGCTTGGATTAAAAAGATCTAATCTCTATTCATCCAACATAAAGATTGAAAACAAGAAAGACAAAAAATTGGTGCTAAAATTTAATAGATATGATTTAAAGACATCAATGCCAAAAAATTCTTTAAAGCCATTAAGATACAACATCTTAGATCTATTATTAAAAAATTTAAAAAAATCTAAGATGAAACTCAAAAAAGTCTTTAAGAATTGAAGAACATTTATTTTAATTTCTATGCTCTTTTATACAAAAAATAATATATAAGGCTAGAAATAATAGATTTTTTCAATATCCTATTAAAGTTATATCTTTAAAAGTTAATACTTGGATAAATAAAGAATTTTTTCTTTCTATTATCTTCAATTAACTAAAAGAAATAATAGGAGAAATACTAAAAAATAAAGCTCTATAATTTTTCAATATTGGAATTAATTTATATATATATATATATATATATATATATATTATTAATCACAACTTTGGAGTAATAATTAATCAAGCTTTAAAAGATGGTAAATTTTCTCAAAGAATTCTTAAAGATCGTATTATCTTTTTTATAAGAATAAAGATAAGACTAAATTAAGAAATTAATATCCTATTATTCCATTATATATTACATACAAAATTTATGCCAGATGTATTTTAAAATACCTTCAATTTATACTAATGGAAGTCATTAGTACATTTGTAATAAAGAGCTTCTCTTCTACTTAGATATATTTTGGAAAATATTATAGTTATATAAGGAACTATAAATTGCACTAAATTGAAAAATTCAATTATTAAAATGAAAAAATAAATAAAAATAATTAATTAAATAAATAAATGCAAAGACATTGATAAACATTATCAAGCATTTTAGTTTGGCTTTAAGTTCAAAAAATCTAATTGATCTAAATTAACTACATATTGGCAATTCATAAAAAAATGTTGGACTTGTGTTTACCAATAACTTTTAATAGGCATGGACCTCTTCTTATAATATCAGCAAATTACTAAGTAGTATTTATAGCATATTTTTGTATAAAATTGATATTGATGTGTCTTTCAGTGATAGAATGAATCATAAATTTTATTTTTGGTATTCTATTAAAATAAATTTGGCTGGAAATTTTTTATAGCTAATAGCTTTTTAATATCCTCTTTATACTTTTTTTAGCTATTTGGATGAAATCTTTGAAATCAATTTTAAAAATAAAACCTTTGATTAAAAACTTTTCATTAGATAATATTTTATCTTTAATACAAGTTAAACTAGTTTTTTCTATATGTTGTAAGAATCAAGCAAGATGAGGTCTCAATTTAATGAATCCAAAAGAAGCCACTAAAGATTTCATTAATATATTAATTATAAAGGCCTTGCAACCAAAACATGCTAACATTCAATAATATTTTTTGATACAAAAAGATGAGTATCAAATCTAAGGCACAAGAGCAATGGCTATCAAACTATGCATGGACTCTAATTCAAAATCACAAATGAGATTTTGGATAAAAAATTGGAATAAAACTAGCAAAATTTAGTTTCAAATGTAGTCCTACATTTGTCTTTATCTTCTAACTTCTTTTCAAAAAGTCTAAAATTGATTCATTAGATGAAGCTAGATATGAATAGAAGATCATATTAGATATTAGTTATATTAGATCATTTCTTATACTATTATTTTCCTTAAATGTACAAAGTTATACTTCAATAAGGTAGTGCATTATGTAAATCTTAAGATTGGGTTGGATTGTAGATTTTAGAGACAAATCAAATACTATCACTAATATTTTAACTCCTAACTCAATACAAAAGAATTGTAGGAGACAAATAATTTCTTCTACCTCCATATACAAAAATAAAAAATCTTTTGTATGGATATCCAATCAAGAATATTCTATTATATCAAGACCCTCTCTTTCAACAAAAATAATTTATAAGTTGGAGACAATGAGATTTAAGTGGTTAATTTTTTAAAACTTATTAAAATATCTTTGAAAGGAGCTTTAATAAAACTATAATAAATTAAAATATATTAATCTTTCCAATGGCCTGGTTAATGAATTAATATTTAACTCCAACTTGTATTCTTTGACATTAGGCAAAGAATCAATAACATACTCAATAAAATGCAAAGAAAAATTACTCCAAAATAATACTATTACTTAAAATTTGATGGTTTTTAAATAAAATTCCATATTAGAATATGGTTTTTTTTAAAGTAATATGAAATTTAGTCTAAACTTTAAATAAATATTAAATAATTCTTAACAATCCTAATTAAATTTTAAAGAAATCTTAATAAATCAAAAAATATATATAAAATCATTAAAAAATCATAAATAAATATTACAAAAATCCTAATCAAATTCTAGCCAATCCTTAAAAAATCTTATATAAATCCTAATCAAATCCAAAAAAAAATCATAAAAATTTTAATTAATTCATTATCATATTTCAATTAAAAATTTAAAAATCTAATTAAATATTAATTAAATCCTAAATAAACCATAAAAATCTCTAATAAAATTGAAATCAAAATTTAAGAAAATCTTAATAAATTCTAATAAAATCCTAAGTGAATTCTATTGCAAATTTAAAATCTCAATAATTGGTAATTCAACTCTCAATCTTGATTTAAGAATTTTAGGTTCTTCAATCTATTAGTTGATAGAAAAAATGCATAAAAGTTGAAAAAAACTAAATTAATAGATTGGAAAAAAAAATCATAATTTGCTTGTATATTAGCCATCTTCCTTCTCCAACCTTGTTGTCAATCTTCCAATGTTAATAGCTCTCAATTAAAATATTTACTTGCTCTAAAATTTTACATAAATATTAAAATTTAAATAAAATATTAATTCACTCATATATTTGTATCAAAATTCACAAAGTTCTTAAAAATGTAATCCCTTTTTATTCTACAAAAAACAATGTCATCCAAAAACAACCTTTACTTTGTAAAATTCTCACAAAATCTTCATCTACTCAAATTTCTCTAAACTAATGATTAAAGAAATCCTATCAAGTTTAATTGCTATATTTTGCTCTTAAATCAACAAAAAAAATCCCAAATTTGTTGTAGATGTGAGGTTTTATACCTCATAGTCTAGTTTCAAACTTTGATCAAAATCAATCCTCTCCAAGTATTAATCTTAGATTTTCTTAGGTAATTTTTACTGAAAGCTATTCTTTATTTTTATCTTAAAATGCATGTAATAATTTTTTATCTAAAAGTACACTTAATATTATTTTTACTAACCTATTTTTCTTTTTTCTTATTTATTGTCCTACAAAGTAAATAAAAGTCATTTTTACAAAAAGACATTATTATCTCTAAATTATTTTTTACCACCTCCTTAACTTTTACCTATGTTTTCCATAATAATACTTTTATCTATGTTTTCACTATTATATTTTCAATTAAAGTCTTCTATAACATAATCCCTTTTTTTTATTCCTTTCATCCAATAGTCATGTTACAATACAACATTGTTGTGTATAATATAATCCCCTTTTTTTATTATTATTATTCCTTTCACCCAATCATGTTACGACACAACACCGTTGTGTACGGTATCAAGAGCTTAGTAATATTTTTGTTTCACTATATCAATGCATTGAATGTACACTGTTTTTTATTTTGTGTCAAAAAGTTGATGCTTCTTAATGATGGGCAACTTCAAGCTTTGCCATTCACAGTGCTGGTGAAGTCTATCAACCAAGCAGCCATTTCTCCTGTCCAAACTCTGAACTAAGTGTATACACAGACCACCAATAGTGTGCTCATGAATGTCAACAGTATTCCGAATGTTGCAACAGGAAAGCACCATTGCTATACCACGCACGAGAATGTCATCACTTGTGACATTCTTTGGAAGAAACAGGGACATGATCATGAGAGGATTTTAACTGGAGTGCAATTGGAGCAGCACATAGAAGATTGACATAGGTTTAAATTGCTCGAAAGTCGGTTGCTTTTTGTTTTGTCCTGATGCGGTTCCTTATTGTATACATTTGCATATTTTGGACATTATCCAACATGCCAGACACGGATCTCCCATATATATGTTACCATTTGATTGCCTCCTCTCATTCAAACTCAACTATGATTCATTATTCCTCACTTTGTAGGAACTCTGTGACCATAGAAATCGGAACGTTGGCATCTCAAGCATTTGGTACAGTGAACACACTTTGAATCTGTCCAGGTTTGTATTTTCTGGAATCCCACCGTTTAAACACGCTGTGTGCGTGGTATTTTCACACAGCGCAGCAGGAATTAAGCGAAGCAACCCAACTGCGAGTCCGTATCTTGGACCGAATGTCTTCCTATGACAGACAGGGAATTGTGGAGATTCGACTGTGAAGATCCGTTGCTGATTCTCTCGACAGTGCAATCGAGGGAATTCCACTGGTAAGAGACGGCTACGATTGAGATCCTCTCTTCTCTGGGAACAAATTGCGACATCTTTGTGGGTTTTCAACACGAACAGCGATTGTTTAAATTGTGTTTGAAATTCTGTTCTGATGGCGGATTCGCGGTTTCTACTAGGAATGAAGATAAACTTTTCTTGGGCTCGAGCTGGAATTGGCGGAATATAGCACTCAAAGAGCTACTCACCCACCCAGAGAGCAGGAGGAAATTTATCCAAAACCAGCTACCAACATTTTCTCGGCCACTGCCTCATATTTACTGCACATTAAGAAACACTGCGAAAATTTCTAAACAAATATCCGTATTTGGCTTAAGTTCCGCTTGTGCAGGTAGATCGATTATGCACTGACTGCCGACTCTCCCCACTTGCTTCACTCACTGCTGAAAGATCCCTGGAGGCTGGCAAGAACATCAGGAATCTGGCCTGAGAATCAACCAAAAGAAGGAATCTCGCCGGCTTTGAATCTAGCCAATGCGGAAATCCAGCTCAAATGTCAACGAGCACTGTATGCAATCGGACACGATGGTCTCAAGGTTAGTCTTCAATTTATTAAAACTTAAGCCACAGTTTAAGCACCGTCCTCGTTTCTAATGGCCCTTCATCAACTCCCCTTTGCAGTTTTCACATTTCGACATAAACTCACAACCATGTACAAAATATTGCACTTATTGACGCCTTGCAATAATGCACTAACGCCCCCTGCTCCTGCACAGCGTGGATCCATATCAACTCACTTCCGATGTAATACATTTCCCGCGTCAACTCCGTAGGAAACTCCAAGTCCGCTTGCACCTCACGCTAACCACTGAAACCCACTCCCCATCTCTTCGGCTCAAGCTCCTCATTCCTGCAAAAAAAACACGTACACTTCAAGGGGAAATTTGATATTTTTTCCTCACCCCACGTCCCCCAAAAGGTCCGGGGGTCCAGCCCCCAAGGCGCTCAGAACCACTGGTTTCAGGCATCAAAACTTGCGGCGCTCACATGTGGGGGGAGGGGGGGGGGGTATGAGGAGAGCCGGACCAGCTTGCGAGTTTTAGTTTCCAGGCCCACGCTAGACGATGAAACTTCTCCTCCTGCATCCAGAGATCGGCAGCCGCCTGGCAACCCCATCATACAGGATCATAAACCATCGCCGCAATTCGACGAAGCGTTTCACATTGGCCGTGGCCCACTCACTCACTCACGCTGCCCCAAAAGCACTGACCACGCTGCGATGGCGGGAGCCCCAGATCGGACGAGCGAGGTAGCGGAGTCCTCCTCTCGTGAAGCCGAGAGAGGTCGGGAGATCGGTCTGGCAAAGTGGCCGCAAATCGCACCACCCTCGCACACACCCTCGCGAAGACGCCAAATGTTGCATAGGACTCATCGATAGACGACGCGGCACATCGCGGGCATCTGAACCCCGGGTGGGGATTCGAGGCCACCTCTACCGTCCGAGATTCAGATTGACCCGGGATTAGGGCAGCGCGCTATTGATAAGCACGTGTGCTATGGGAAAGGGTGGCCTTTCACCCACCCCGGTTACACCCTAACCCACGCTAGCTTTGGAGAATTAGGGTTTGGCTTTTGGGTTTTTGTGTGGCTCTATGTGTTGGTGGCAACCGGCGCCCAGTCTGGGAATTGATGCCCAATGTATTTGGGTCCATGTTACAAAACCATGTTCCGAGAACAAGATCCGTGTCACATTCTTTGATGCTATGTTTTCTTTTCAATTCTCGAAGTCAAAAAAGAATGGTGTGGGTTGTGTTGGCTTTTTATTTGTAATTAACTTAAACTATAGAAGTATGCAGTGTTGTTTCATTGAACAGTTTTGGGTGTTTGAGTCTCAATTGGGGAATCTTGGCATTTGCTAATATATAATTCCTTGGGAACAAATTTTTTTTTTCTTTTGAAAACTGAAAGGAATATAAATAAAAATAAATACAAAAGAAACACAAATATGTTGACTTTGGAGGGGTTGGGTTTGTCTACACATTTTAAAGAAAAGGATTTTGTCATGTAACTCTTGTTGACAATCATTTTTTTTGTCCAAAAACGACCAAGTTTGTGTTTGATTTTTATCAAGAGCATGCATACCAAAAAGAAAAGCCTTTAGTTACATCCTTTCTTTTAAAAAAACAAAAAATCTTTGCCTTTTTTGTTTTATTAGAGGAATTTGCATCTCTGTCTGCTTTGCATTATTGTGTTGTGAATGTACCATTATACAGTAGAGTATAACTGAATTCCAATTACATGACTGTTTCTGAATTGTGTGTGTATGCATATATGCTGAACCACTTGCATTTTTGTCATTATTTATCTCAAGATCTAATTATTACATGCATCATTTCAGCACATTTGAATACATTTATAAAATAATAATAATAATAATAATAAATGAAGTTTATTATGAAATAATTTAATTGAGTTATATGAATAAATAAAATAAATACTGCAGCAATGGCTTAACTATGGTTTAAAATTAAAACTCCAACATGAAAATTATGGAAGGGGCATCATTGCAACACAAGTAGCAAAAAGATGAGATGAGATGATTTATCAATGCCATGAATCAGATTCAAGAGTCTTGAAAGATGTCATACTAACATTATACTCAACACACATGGAAAACCTCAAAAGATGATACTGTTTTTTTCATTTGTAGGTTATGAATCAAGTACTACATATATATACACACTCACTGTGGTTAGAGTATAAAAAAGAGAGAAATGGTGTGAATGAGGTAAATCCAAGGGAGTCAGTAGGGGACCCATCAAAAGGCACGAAATGATGTTCCCAATGCAGGAAGTTTTCCACATTCACAAGCACTGCTGGACCCAAGTGCAGATTCCAGACTTCTGCCCACCTCCAGATTCAGAAAAGTGGAAAAGACTCTGAAATGAAGGGGAATCTGAGCCCTACTTCAAGGTAGTAAGAAATGATAAAGGGATGGAAACAGGCAAAGGGAGAACTAGGGCCATGGAATCAGTTCTCAATGTTGTGTAGAGGAGGAGTGGGCATGGGATGTTTTCCACAACATGGGGTGGGTATGTCACACCATAACCCACCACCATCACAGACCATGCTTTTGGAAATGAGCACAGACGTGACTATTTTAGAGCAGCAAGCATTTTTGTGGACCCAGTTGCCACCTGCCATGCAGCACTTGCTGTTCCCCCATTCTCTTTCATGCATTAGTAATAATGCAAAAGGTGTTGAGGAGACACAAAAACAATACAAAAAACAGGGTGTGTGTGTGTGTCTGAGTTCACTTACCAACCACCCCACCAACCCAACTCTGCAACTGTAGATTGTTCCTGTTCATCACATTAATCTACATGTCTGTAAACTAAAATATATTTCTGACTAATTGATTAATTGATTAATTAACTAAACTTATCAATGCTTCTAGTGTTTCCATGTCCCTTGGCTGTTGGTTTGTCTCTCTCTCTCTCTCTCTCTCTCGTATTTGCTATCTACTTTAGCTCCATCGTGTGTTGATCACTGCACCGCCAAAATGTTTCTTTCCATGATGTGTGTCCATTTTCAAATGTGACATGTATTTGTTTGGATTTTGCTGAATGGATGTCTATTAGATTAGATGTAGGGGGTGTATTGTATCTTTACCACAAGACTATCAGTTTATAACAGAATCAGAGCTTTGTGTTCATGTTTTGTTCTTAGTTTATTTGGAAAGTAAAGGTGTCTTTTTCTGTTTTTATGTTGTTGAGTTTACAATTGTAATTAGGCTTTGTGTGGTGATTGTTGGGTCTGGTTCAAACTTCAACACATGAATTGGATGTAGTTCTAGCTTGCACTTGTTACTTCGCCTCCTCATCTTATCACGTGCAACCAAGATCTTCTCAATTTCACAAAATAATTCTGCTCTCTCTGCAGTGTGATTTCATTTTGATTTATTAGGTATAAATATCTTCGAGTTATTTTCTATTGTTTTGCACCACAAGTGTTACCACATGTCAACACCCCATATCATGTGGTTACTTCTACTTCAATGTATGATCAATGTTTTCTCCTAAAAACAAACAAAAAACAAAAAACAAAAAAATGTGTCATATATTAAATCTAGATGGTTTAGATGCAAGTTCTAACAATGGGGACCAAAACATATTTATGTTGCTTATATTGTACATATACTACATGTTCTTTTTACTATTTAAGTGAACAAAGAAAATAAATGTAAGTAGAAAAAAATAATTAATATAATTGTAAAAGATATACATTTATTATATGTTAAAAAATAAAAATAAAATTTTAATTATAGTAATTATTTGATGTATTATCAAATAGAAATAGAAATCTAACAAGGGACAAACTATCATATATTAGAATTTTAAAAATACATTAGAAAATATTGAAAATGAAATATTAATGTTGTAGGATTTAAAATTTACATTTGTAATAATTTTTTTATGTTGTCTACTTAAATTTTATGTTGAAGAAATTATATAATGTTTTAGTCTCTATTCTTAAGCAAAGACTACACATCAACCACTATATTAACTTCTCTAAACAATTTTTTTTTATTATTTTAAAGAACATTTAGTTATTTGTATCATTGGATTTTATTAAATTCTTATAACTTCTCCTTCTTAATTTTCTACATCCATTGTTCTGTATGTAATAAAAAGCATGTTTTGCCAATTATGGTTATTTTTCACAATTTAATGTCTCTATTTCTTAAAATTAATAATAACACAACAAAATTTGCAGCAAGTAAATTATAAAAATTTAGAATAACAAAAGAAAATGAAGTTAGATCTTAAAGAAAATAAACACTAGCAAAAGAATGATGATAAATTTTCATTTCTTTTTCTTTATTAAATTTTATAAAAATTTAGTAATAAAACATGGTTATTTGGTTGTAATATCAATACTATTCAACCTTCTATTAAGTTATTTTTTTGAAGTTTTTTTAAATTTTACTTTTTCTTTAAATAAAATAAAAATTAAACTCCATAAAAAACGATATCTTTCATATCAAATTATATAAATTCAGTATATTACAAAAGAACTAATTTCTATATTATTCTTATTGATATAAATAAATATTAAAAATTAGTGTTAAAAATATCTTAGAATTTAAAGCAATACCAATATATATATATATATATATATAAGTAAGAGCAAGATGGTATTAGGGATAAAAAAAATGTGTTGAATGAGTAATTGTTTTTGCATATTATTATCACTTTTAATAAATAGTTTTTGAAATAATATATTTCAAAACAGATATTTTTTCTCAAAGATGGTAATTTTTTTATTTAGTACTAGAAGAGTTAAAAATGTATATATATATATATATATATATCTTTGTCTTTGGTGGTGTTATTAGATTTGATTAAAACACTTAAAAATATTCTAAATACATTATTTGAAGGTATTTACAAAGGTTATTTGAAATTCAATACGACCTTCAGTAAGAATGATCAAATAGTTTGATGGTCTTCTAGAATATGTGCAAGATATTATTAATATTTGAAGTCATTTATTAATAATATTTGATAAAATTATAAGCTACGGTTCTTGAAAAGAAATAAAAGCATTCATTAGATCTTAGAATTTGTCAACTTGTAAAGCAACTTAGAAAATGATTGCAACTCGTAAAATGCATTTTTAGAATAAGTGATAATATTGTATTGTATATATTCATCACTAAGTACTATTCAATTTTAGATCACTTGATTGAGTGATTTTATACCATTCTAAATTAGATTCTAGATGCCAAATTTAATTATATCAATAATGTAAATAGATTTTATTAAGTTCATTTCTTTAAGGTATTGATATATGTGAGTTTTTAGATTTATTTAACAATAACGAAATATCAAAATAATGCATTTGTTAAAGTTACAATATTTAGTTAAATATGTTTTTTTAATTCTTTATAAATTGCCAAATAATAACTAATAATTATAACCATTGAAGTTTTTATATTTTAAATGCCAAACTATAAAAATTTCTTCATATACACAAAAAATAAAATGGTTTTTGTCAGTTTTACTTTGTAAAAAGTTGTTAATTAATATTTGTAGGGGTATCTTGCATAATTTATATTCTTTAATTGATATTCCTTGTTTTACTAATAATATTTATTATAACAAAGGATGTTTATAGTCAGTAAATTTATAACCTTGTCTTTTTTTTTTATTATTATTATTCATGTAAAAAAAGTGAAATTTCATAAATCAAATGAAGATTAAAATACTAATTAAGCATTTTAAGGATTATGAGCTTGCATCATTTGTGTAAGAAACTTAAACAAATTTTGAGGTGAGATAGCGGCAAGCATAGATTTTTCTAATTTGCTTGTCACAAGGGACTTCTTGCGCTCACCTTCCAGCAATGTTGGTCCACCAAAGACTCTTACAGTTATTTGCAATGTGCACAAGAAGAGAACAAATAAGACTAATTCAACATAGAACATGATTCTTTTTGTGTCAAGATGTGAGTCAAGAGCCTC